CTTGCCTAGCATGTACAAAACCTGAACTTTAATTTCAAGCGCTGAAAAAGTTAATAAAAAAAAGTCAATTGTAACATAGTTATGAAATTACTGTGCAGAAATCCATAACTTAAATAACATTTAAAAATGTATAACTAATAACTGAATGTTGGAAAGGAGGAAAATAATGAGTAAAAAATGCTTGACTAGTGCAAAGAAGTAGGAGAATTGAAAGAAAAAATATAACACAGGTGGGTTAAAAACAACAGCAACAGGAAATTACGTTAATAAAAATGAACAAATATTCCTACTCAAGACTAACATTGTTAGGGAGAGAGAAAGTCTCCAACAGTATGTTGCAAAGGAAGATTGATTTATCTGTTTGTTTGCAGAACTTTGGACCAAACCCAGACCCCATACATTCATTACAAGCAAGTCAGCTGCGTCTTCAGCCTCCAAAGGGGAGATTTTAAATGTCTGGAGATGAGAAGCTAAAGACAAGTGTTGAATAGTCTGGACCATACAAACTGTATCCCAACAAGAGTGGCATGGCTGCTCTACTGTCAAACAGATTCTAATGCAGCGTATGCTATTACAAGCAAAGATGATTCATCCTTTAAAGCAGAACGGTGGAAGTGGAATGCCAGATGATATTACTTTGCTGATGTGAATCGTCCAGCGTCTCTTCCAACGTCCTTGTATTGACTTTGGATAAAGCTCAGACTGCAATTGTGATGGACGAGATTTTCCATACATCACCTGCATCGCCTCTAACAACTTATCACTCTGCCTCATATTTTATCTTTAAGGGCACTGAAGAATGCACAACTGTGCAAAATCTCCAACTCTTTCTATATTCTGTGGTTTCTGCTCTTACCAGTCCAGCTGATGTCTTACTTTGTAAAAATGAGTTTTTTAGACATTGTATTCTGCTCTTTCTATCCACACTCACCTGGTTTCTCTCACACGGTCCTTCACTCAGCTGTATTCGTCTATACCAACTTCATAAACACTTGTAAAGAATCATTTCTATTAAGGAATTTGTTTATGACTTCTGCCTTTCGGCTAGTCAGGAAGAAAATAGTAGGCGCTCATCAAATCTTAGTGAAATTAATTTATATGTGTTGGTAAATGCAGTTATTTACAGAATTACTTGTCATAAAATCGCTTAACCTTCCAGTAGTGTGATTTGCCAATAAATATAGCACACTTAAAAACTGTATAAATTATATAAACTACAAACTTATAAATTGTTTATATAATTTTGGTTACTGTTTTAAAATAACATTTCATAACTCTTTTTTATTCTATTAATTGGAGTCATGAAAGTAGCAGATACTATTACTGTGCCAGTACAACATTTATAAATCTATTCATATTGTTTTCTGCTATAGGTTGCTTGATTTGTATGTGTGTGTATGTGTGTGTGTATGTATGAACATGTATGAATGAGTGAGCATGTATGAATGAGTATAAGTTAGTATGTGTGTACGTGCATTTGTGCATGAGTGTATGAATGTGTGAGTATGTGTGTGTGAATGCATGATTGTATGTGTGTATGTATGTGTATATGTAAGTATGTGAGTGTATATGTATGTGAGTGTGTGTATATAGACTAGAAGTAAATGTTAAATGTCTTCCTTAAATACACTCTCCCTTAGTTTTTGAGACCGAGTCTCTCATCAGACCTGGAGCTGGTTGTTGTTTAGCCTGGCTAAGCAGCAAGCATCAAGAATCCTCATATCTGGATTACAGCACACATCCGCATGTCTAGATGTTTGACATGGGTGCTGGTGTGTTCTGCTCTCAGAATCTCATAATGTGCAGTAAGCACTTTACCAAAAAAGCTGCCTTTATAGCACAGCTGTTTGATTTTTTTTCATAATGTTGTTAGTTTTCTAGGCTGACTTAACGAAATTGTAATCAGTTCATGAATTCACTTGAGAATGTACAGTTTTATGTATTCTTGTAAAAAATTATGAGCAAACATACTTTGAGAAGAATTTAGAGTAGAATTTTCAGAAATTAGTACAGGACATTGTCATTTAGAAAAACACGCTCAGATAATGTTTGAATGTCTGGGTGAGTTCCAAAAGGCATTGGGCTTATTCTACAATTGCTTTTTCCTAGACTTGCAAATTAAAATGGCTAAAGCAGTTTTGCATATAAATCAGTTTTTAACCTGGCTGATGATGTGTCTATAATTTCTCAATAGAGGAATTTTGTATCTGTGTTGTGGACCAGCTAAGGATAAAAACTGTAGGTCAAACTGCCTGGATCTTAATTTAAGCTCTGCTCTACCCTTCCTATAAAATCTTGAGTCATTTCCTCAGCCTTTTTTGTTCTGTTTACTTTTATTGTGTTCTGCTTTTAATTTGTTTCTTTGATAGAGTCTCATGTAGTCAAGACTACCCTTAAGTCCCTGTATAGTTAAAGATGTATCTTATCTATAAAATGTAGATAATGATATTACATATCTCATTGGTTATTCTGAGGCAACATTTTCTAGGTTTCTAGTACATAGTAAATGCTCAGTAAAGATGAGTGGATGTGGAAGAGAGCTCAGTGAAAACAATAAATCATGGAGATAATTAAAAAGGTCATCTGACTTGTACTCTGTCTATGCACTACAATAGAGCCTAACATTAGGTGGGATGTAGCTCCACTGATAGAATGATTACCTCACACAAACAAACCTCTGGGGTTCAGTCAACAATGCTCTGTCAGTTGAGCATGGTGGTGCACATCTGTAATCCCAGCACTTAGTATGTGGAGGCAGGAGGATGGTCAACCTCAATGATACAGGGACGTCAGGGATAACTTTGGTTATATGAGACTCTGACAAAGACACAAATTAAAGGCAGAACAAAATAAAAAATAAATATCCCCGAACAAACAAGAAGAAAATCCCTAGTGTTTAGTGAGCATTGTATTATTTTATGTATATCATGATACCTGAATTTTATCTCCTTATGAGTAAACTAGGAAGTTAAGTAAAATTTCTTAATGTATATCTAAGTCAATGGAAACTCAACGAATTTATACCCAAATGTTCTGTGTTCAGTTAGGATATTTTGACAGAATCATTTGAAACTGACATTTTAATGTCAAAGATATTTTGGTGAAACCTATAAAGGTGAATCTTTAAACTTTCTATTTCTTGTTGAAAAATAGAAACAGTTTCATTATGCTCATTTCACATTAGAGAACACATGTTGGAAAAGTGAAAACAATTTAAGAACACACGAAAATCAGCCACAGTCTCACCATCCAAAGTTAGTGAATGTTAACACCTTTGGTAGGCACAAGCTCAGACACTGCTAGTTATCTACAATTTCCCCCTGAATTTCTTGATAATAGAACCAAAATTTTATATAGTTCAAACTAAACTCCCAAAATGGGGAGAGCGAGATGGCTTAGCATGTAAAAGCACCCGCCACCAGGCCTGAAGACCCCCAAGTCCAATTCCTGGGACCCACGTGGTAGAGGGAGAGAATCAGTTCCTCTAAGTTGTCTTCTGATCTTGACATGTGTCATGGCCCTTGTATATACTTGCATGCACACACATATTTGCACACACACACACACACATACACACACACACTAAATATTAACATAGAATACCTAGACAAGGCATGGGCAAAGCAATACAAGAAGGGAATCTTGTATAGGTGTGCTTGGAGAAATAGCTGACTTGAATGGCAGTCTTTTCTCTTTTTCTTTTTCTTCTTGGAGAGGCAGACATGCGAGGGGTAACACAACCATTTTGTGGAACAAAGGAAGAAACATTGTATGCAGTCTAGTATAATGAACCCTGAATCCCTAGTGGCATCATGGAGACATTCTGTACATCTCATCCTCAACTGCTTACTTTGCAAATTCTTTTTGCAAAGTAACATTTTGATAATCGATTTTAATTTTGCTTCTGTTACATGTACTAAATACAACTTTCGTTGAAATACCATCATCTGGAATTTTGTCTATTCATTCAGCACCAAGAGAAAATGTTACTATGATACTGATTAGTCAAAAGCAGCATTATATATTTTATTTGTATATTTGTATATTATAAATTTGTAATAAATATTTAACTATATTTCACTTAGGTAAGTATAGTTTGATTTCCTTCCAGTCACTAATTCTTTAACGGATTTCCAATTTTGTTTAAATAGCATTCTGTTCAGCCCCTGGGATACATCCTAATTCATATATATGTTAATTATACTTTATCTGAAAATGACATTGGTATCATTCTGGCCAGTGGACCTTAGAAGTCTATTGAAGACATCTGGGAAAGATTTATACCCTGACAGCACATGTGCAGGAGCACTGCCTCCTCCCTTTGCCCTTTCTTCAGCTTGAGACTTTATGAAGAGACAGTGTTTGGTGCTAAAACAGCCACTTCTAAAAATAAGCAGAGATAGCACCGATGTTCATATGAAACAAAATGCAGAGGCTCTCTCCTACAACCCAGGGTTTCTTGTCACAAACCATCGATGAATGCCTTGAGTTCTGCTGACTGTTTTTCATTTGGAGACAAAAGCATATTTACTGCAAAAACATCGTGGCCTTCTCTATGTCAGATACTATAGTATACACTGGAAATGCATCAGCTGGCAAAATAGATACTTCCACTGTCATAGAACTCACTTGCAAAGGGACAACTGTGTTGCGGAAACGCCTGATGGGCTGATGAGCTGGCTCAGAGAGTGAAAGCCCTTGCTGCCCAGGACTTCCCGCCCTGACCCCTAGAACTCACGGTGAAAGGAGAAAACTAACGTACAAAAGTTGTTCTCTGGCTTTCACATGGATGCGTTGAGCATGTGCAGGCACACCACATTGGCACTAATAAACGAGTAAATATATTATTAATTCATCAAGTGGCATTATATATTAAGAAGAAGCAAAGCGGGCAATGGAGAAAACAGGGAAGGTGTCCAGGCAGTATGAAAGTGTGGGGTTTATTGGGAGTGGTCCACTGAGAAAGACACTGCTGAGAAGGCTGTAAAAGTTGGTAAGACACTCCCTGGCATTGAGCAAAGCGACACCTTGATGGTGGTGGTGCTGTTCTTGTAACAGTTAGGGGCAGAGCTAATGATAGTCCTTTGTTCATCCTAGCTTGATGCCTGGCTATGTGGCCAAACCTGTCTTATTTCTAGGACTAATAAAAAATCAAGTCAAATCCTGGCAATCCATCATGGGAGGAAGAAAACAGAGACCCGAAGATTGCCAGGCTACCCACAGACCTGCCTCCAGCACATGGTACAGGCAGGTGGCAATGGAAGATGTCACCCAGGAGCCTGCCAGCCACATGGCCAGCCTGCAGTGGTAGACACCACAATGTGAGTATGTGGTGGTCAGGTGGGAGAGAACGAGAAGTGGAGCGGGTTGAGCATGATGAAGAGAGCTGGAACTGGAGACTCGAGGGTAGAGAGAAGTTGTCTGTTGTGAGTGGCTGTGGGACTGCGTAAGGGTATCCTGGGTCATGGTTGAGCAGGTGCCTAGAAACCCGAGACTCTGCGTGAGTATCGGCAGGAGTTCGGAGCCCTCCAGAATCCAGGGTCCTAAAAAGCAGTCATGTCTTCATAAAATTACATTGTTCAGTCACATAGGCCAGACTATAGGCATCAGGCCCTAGGGATTTACATACTAATGAAGGCCAGAGGGCAGAGCAAATTAAGCATGCCTCCCCCAGATCCTCCCCCAATCCTCCCCCTTTCTCCCTCCCTATATGACTCTGGACTGCCCTGAGTTCTGGGGGGTACGCCTAGATCCATCCACCATCCGCCATGACAATAAACCTTTCTGGAACCAAGGACTTCCTCGTGTCATTGGGGCCTGCCGCCGCCAAGGCCTCCAGGCCGCTGGAACCATAGGATTCCTCCCAAATGTGAGACCCGCCGCAGCGTGGAAGCCCCTCCAGGGCCCCACCGCTGTGGTGGCCTCTAAATTTTCCCCACAAGTGGCCAGCCCCATCACCCTGGACCATGGTGAGGTCCCAGGCTGAGCTGCTGCTGAGAGCCATGCCTGAGTCTGTGCAGGGGTCAGAGTTCGAATTACAACTAGAGATGTAGAGAACTTGGGGATGTCCCTGGTTGGGACAGCTGCTGGGAACCATGTGAATATCCAGGGTGCATAACTTGCCCCACACTTCACTGGATGTGGCACTCTGAACAGCTCACCCCATCTCTCCATGGTGATAGCACCCGGGAGAGTAGGCTCTGAGCCTTGGCCAGGTAGCAAAGTGGAGCTGGCCATAGTGGCAGAGGTGTGGGTGAGCCAGCCCTGAGGACGAAAGTAAGGGAGAGCTGGCCCTGTCACTCCTCTGCCGTGAGGTAGCCTGAGGGGAGGGCGGAGGGGGGAGATTCCCCCACCCCACCCACCCCTGCCCCTGAGCGCCTGGGTTGAAGAGCTGATCTACCATCATGAGAATAGATCAGACCCTGTACCTCATCTGAGCTGCACAATAGAGCTGACCCTGGTGGTTGGGGGAGTAGGTCAGCCATCTTTTACCTTCTGTCATAAGGTAGCCTGAGGATGGGGGGGGGGAGAGGGCCTCTGCCCTCTGCCCCCTGCCCTCTTCTGCCCTCTTCTGCCCTCTTCTGCCCTCTTCTGCTCTCTTCTGCCCTCTTCTGCCCTCTGCCCTCTGGTTCCTTGCTGCCTGAGAGCTTGAGAACCGGTAAGCTGGCCCAACCTCTTGCTGGCTATAGCACATGGGAGAGTGGGCCACACACCTTGGCTTGGCAGCACAGTGGACCTGGCTCTGCAGGTGTGGGTGTGGATAAGCTGGCGCCTGAGGGCTTGAGAGTAAGAGAGCGACCCTGCCTCATGCTGATGATGGCATTGAGTGGCCTAGCTGGAGCAGAGCTGGGGAGCTCCTCTTGTTGGTGTGGATAAGGATGAGGAGATAGGCTGACCAGCTCAGCTGCCACCCAGGCCCAGAATCAAAGCTCTGAATTGGCCCACCGCAAAATTAGATTTTGGGTGGGTCCTAGTCGATAGCAGAGGCTCATTGAGCCTAGAAAATTTGTATCAATTATATAGTTTATGCTCAACACACGATGTATGTTTCTGTCTGCTTTCAACATGAATCTACTACCAGAGAACTTGTCATTTTTTCTTTTATGGTTGTAAGTTCTAACCAATCTAATGATGAAATTTGATATATCTTGTTTTGATTTCTAATTTTTATTTCTATTTAAAACCTCTTATATTTTGAACATCTTTATTTCTTAGCAAACTTTATCTTTTTATGTTCAATTCAGGAGTTTAGTTGGTCACGTGTATGTAAGTGAATGTGTGAGTTCATGTGTGTGCACAGGCTGATGCACATGTATGTATATGTATGTACTCAGGTGTCACGTTTGTGGAGGTCAGAGGTCAATGTCAGGTGACCTCTTCAGTTTTTCCCCTACCTTATTTTCTCACTCACTGAACTGTGTGACTTGTACCCTCTTATCTCTGCCCCCCCTCCCCCAGTTCTGGAATGACATGTGTATGCCACCTGGTCTGGCTTTTTTGTGTGGGTTTCGGGGATTGAATTTCAACCTTCATTGCTTATGCTGTAAGCATTTTGATGACTGAGCCTCCTTCCCAGACCATATTTAAGGTTTTAATTCCACAATTTAACTGCCCCCCCATCCAAAAGCTGTATAAGGTCTGGGAACAATGTCAGAAGCTATACGATGCCTTTAAATGTGACTTTGCCCTCTTTCCTTCCACTTCTCATTATCAAAGACCTAATTGATAGAGGTTCAAGAGGAGATGTTTTAAATTTCCTGATTGTTAACTCTAGCTCAAGAAGGACATACTACCTGTGGAGCATACGCTTGAAAGGAATCTTCAGGAGTTCTACGTAGAGGAGCCAATGAAAACGCTTCATTATTTGATCCTAAAAGTTTGTTGCTTCAGTAGTTGCAAAATGGGAATTAAAATATTGAGGTTTGAAGTATCAGTGCAGGGTTCTAAGGTCTGTTCCTGATCAGCACCCCAAAATAACCATTGTGATTAAGCTGTGATACTTGACACTAGATTTTGGTAGCACCACAGAAAACAAGAAGGGTAAGTCTGCTCAAATCCTTTCATGGGGATCACCCACAGAGCTTCTCTTCATGATCTGGCTTGCTCTACTGTGGCAGACCTTTGTTGTCTGTCCAGCTTGTCTGCTACTGTGTTTCAGCAGCCATTTGCTTCTCTTTAATAACCCGCTGCCCTCCCAAAGGCCAGGCCCCTAAGCTCTCTTGGCTCTAAAAGCAACATTTTATTTTCTTTTACCCATTCTGAGATCCACCCTTGAGCCCTATCTTCATTTGCCATCAGGGCCTATTCCACGGAAAATGAACACCAGGAACACAGCACTAGGTCACATCAGGACAGCCTGCCCTCTGACAGGTGCTCTCACCCTCTGGTCTCTCCAAGTGTGAGTGCTCTGTGATACAATAGGCTGTATGATTCACAGATCTGGCTTGTTCAGTCTTGAAGAATGTCTGTGATGTGACCACAGTGTTACATGACGTTCATAGAGGCTCAACCTAGTGCTTCCCAGCTTTACACTCAACAACCTGCGATGCTTTTAGATAGTTCCTTGTATATCCATGACTCAAGAGGACTGTCTGTGATTTTTCTGAGCCTGGAACTTGACATATACATATACTTGCCTTTTACATATACTCAGAAGTACTTCCACGGGGTTTTTAATATGTTTGGAATTTTTTCAGGAATGCAAATACTGGACATATTTTTGGAAAACCGTATAACTTTTTCTTCTAAAATGTACCAAGAGTAATTTCTCATTGCGGAAAATCATGCCAGTGACATTCAACACCATTCATGACATTTAAGTTGCTACTGTAATTTTGATCAGTTTGCATTTTGTTGTTCTTTTCATAGTGATTTCAAATGTCAACCAAATAGAAAAGTGTCAAAAATATTCAGCTAAATTGCCTGGGATCAACCTTGGCTGGTCTTCTTTCTTGTTCTTGACTCCTCTTGAGGCAGCGGAGGGGGAAGAGGTTGGGGGAAAACTTTGTCTTACAACATATTGGGGGTAAGACTTTGTCTTACGAGATATATAGGGCTCCTGTTTAATAATAAAAAAGTTTACTTATCTAAGTCTGAGTTACTTTGCTACTATAGCTGACTTGTCTTCTGTGTTCCTCTGAGGCCAGAAACTTCAGTCTCTGGCATTTAACACCTGATCCTAAAACAACAGGAGATTAAGTAATGTAGCCTTTATTCTATCTCTGCAGGAATTGTGCTGCTCTAAGTTCAGCCTGCACTGGAAGAAAAAGGGACACTTTGAAAAGTGAATTTTGGGTTTATTTCTAAGTTGTAAAATGTTTCCTATGAAAGCTCTCTTAAGAAAAATGGGAAAACTGGAATGATCCTTCTCTTTGTCTTCTCTTTGTCTTTCAGAGTACATGATTACATGGTAAAAAGTTCATCACAAGTAAATTCAAATCATAAATCATAAATTGAAATTCAAATCATAAATCGAAATTTTCAACAGAGAATGTTTACATGCATATCCATTAGGAGTAATTATCTGGCTAAACGTTCATCACCTGTCACAGTTCCACAGGTTCATGGAGTGTTAAAAACCATAACTAAGTTATTAGTGAAGTTTTGTTTAGATAAACCCAGTCAGTATTTGATCTTCTGTCCCAGCATCTATAGTAAATTGTTAGCTTTGTTTTTTATACTCCTTGGTTAATAGCTTTACAACCTCTTGGAATGTGCTCTGAGTAGTAGAACCTGCTCACTATCAGAGACAATTAACTCCATGACAATAAAGACTTGCCAGAGTTCTCATTGCAGTTTTGACTCTCAGAAAGGAATTCATAGCAGTGTTATTAAAAGAGCTTAAAAATTACTATAAATTTAGGAATTCTTATAGGATCATCATTAAGAATTAAGAAGTCATCTCTTTGTCTGTGTAGCACCGTTACACGACAGTGCATCTTTGTAGATCTGCAGAGATCTGCTCAAAAGAGTCAGATGATGCCTAGTGATTGTTATATATATTTGATAATAACAACAGGAAAAACATATTAATAACAGGAGTCATTCCTAAAATGAATTTCTCCTGGACCTTGCCAATGGGAGCAAATCTGTCTTGGATTATTAATCTATGGTAAGCAGTTTTAATGACTGTAATTATACTACTGTT